ATAGGTGTGAGATCCAACTGTCCTCTGCTTGCTAATTTGAGTACTGCTTCTACAGCCCAGCTTGTCTTGATAATAATTTTTTATTATTAGTTGATTGGTTTAACACATGTTAACCTTGCAACTCAGCATCACTGACACTTGGTTACCAGGTGGTTTCCTGTCCAAGCAGTTTATAAAACTGGTCTAGCTATATCATGTGCTGTACGTCATGTACCCTCAAATATGAGGACTAACCTTTAATGAGCTTGAGACGGACAATTTTAGAAAAATGGGGGCTTAAGTGGTCTTGTTCATGGCAGTGGGCTGAACTTTGTATCTATGCAGGTCAGCCTATTCTCAGCAGAAAAAAAACACAAAGAGTTTAGGACACCTTAATGATTCACGAATTTATTCTGGCCTAAGCTTTCTTGGATACTGCCTATCCGCAAGAAAGGAGTGTTTGCAAGAATATGCAGAATAAATGTTTGTTTAGTATAGTTATAACCCACATTTTTCCTACAAAGTATCCAAGGTGGTTTATATAATCCTCCTCCGCCTTATTTCATCTTCACAACAACCCTGGGAGGTAGGCTAGACTGAGATGCAGTCACTGGCCCAAAGACACTCAGTAAGCTTCATGGCCAAATGAGGACAAGAGCCTGGAAGTCCTGCGTTCCTTTCAAATCAGCATGGCCACCTCTCTGGACAGTCTTCGAAGGAGCAAAGTTCAGAATTCCTGTTCTGGGAGCCATGTATGGCTGGCGAATGATAGAGAAAAGCAACACACAAACAAACAAAATGAGTTGCTTTAGGAGCATTTGTGCTATTTGTTTGTATAAAAATAATGAAATCTTTTATTTGAAAAAATAACTTGGTGTTTATAGTCCTTTCCAAGGCAGTTAATCTTTTGGGAGTATCTGTTAAGCTTGCCGAAGCAGCCAACAGGCATGGTTGAGCGACACATCTAGACGGCCCAGTGTGGTGAGAGGTGTGAACCAAAAAGCAGACTGGCTGTGATGAAAGCGGTTCATAGGAAGGAAGAAACAGCAGCAGCAGCTAACAGGAGAGCCTGATGCTTTACCGCAACATCTAATACATGTTAGATCTTCGGTGGATTTTCTGGGGTCTTCTGGCATTATGCATCCTTCCCATGTGGTAGTTTTAAAACTGTGGTGGTGCCATGGTGAATTACTTCCAGTCACAGGCCCTGTATGGAACCTGGAAGAAGTGGTGTTACAGAAGCATCGTCCACAACAACAAGAGCACGTACAGACATCGCTTGCCATGATAAAAGAAAGTATATCAAATCTCACTGGTTCTGCTGGAGATTAATACTCTGAGGTTAAATTCTGGTTTAATAGTGATAGTTTACTCTTCTGTGATTACTAGCCACCCCATAGCAGAAAGTACTTTGAAAGCCCTGGTGAGGCTTCTGAGAAGCTAGCATCCAGCTCTTTAGCAGTTTGATTTTTAGAAGGCTCTTCCAGATGATTTCACACAGGGATGACGCAGTTCTTCTGACTTCCTGAGCACATTCCAGTTGCGGTCGCCCAGTAAATGTTCTTCTGTGGGGAGCAGTGGTTTCCCAGCAATCTTGACTATTGAATTGAACTTCTGGGAAATAGCGATTCTTTCCCCACCTGGCCTGACCCCAGCAAGCTAAGCAATTGTATTGGTAGAAGGAAAACAGGGTTTTGCCCCTTTCAGAACACACAACAAAACATCAATACTTATTTTGTCAATCCCAGCTGTCAGCTCAGAACTATTTGCATACAAAGCAACCTAGTGTTTTACCAGCTGATGAGTATTTATGTGTTAAGCATGGTGTATATTGTGCAGCCAAATACTACACTTAGAAGGAACTTCTATTGAGTCAGTGCACCAGTGAAGAGAAGGGGGGGACCCACAATTCTGAAAGAGCCTTAAAGTCTATTAAATATCTAATCAGTTTATATTTTTTATTTTAATAACATGTGTGTGCATGTGGGGATGACTATAATTAATTTCCATACCACCCAACAACCAAGGTTCTCTGGGCAGGACATTAAAAATACACCTATGGACTAGAGCTCATGTGATGATGTGCCAGCTCACTCCAGTTATCAAAAAGGGATGAGAACCTCGTAATTTGCCATTAGCATTTTCAGTTTACCCCTGAGAGCATCCAAGGAAGTATAGTCACCTTTTGTCTTTGTGTTAAAAACATCTGTTTAATCTGGACCACCAGTAATGGGCCTCCAGTTCCACATGGAAGTCTGCTAAAAGGGTTTATTCGCATGAGACTCTGCACACATTTTCAACTTTGTTAATCCCTTTTTGACAGTTCTATCTTCTCATCCAGAGTTTATGAGGGACTTTGCATGGCTTAAGGAGCACTGTGACTCAACTCGATCGGTTTTCACTGCATTTGCAAGCCATTCAGCCTGATTAGGGAGTTCTAAGCTCACATTTTACAGCTTTGTCTGTTTTCAGTGCCTCTATGGAAACTGAACAAGTGGGCAGGCGTGCCACATTCCTCTCCAAATACAATGAGTTACTGGCTTTATCTCTCAGCCATACTCTGGTTAATGTCATTTCTTTGGTGGTTATCTAGCCTAAGTCCCCGTGGTGCTATGCCCCTCCTGGAAGGAAGGTGTCTGAAAATGTATCACTCTGTTGCAGCCTTTCCTGCCTCCTTCTCCAAAACCTCTTCCTTTTTTGTTCCCGTGGCACTTGCAGTGCCTAGAAAGCCTAAGTCCTTTCTGTCACTCATCCTGACAAACCATTTATGGATTGCTCTGTCTATAAATTCCCTTGATGGATGTTTTTATCTCTGTTAAACTCTTTTAAACAGCAAGGCAAAAGCCTTCTAGACCAAACTGTTCCAGGAAAGTGTTTGACTTAAAGCACCAAGTGCACTTTAGTTATAAGCCCGAGACTGCATGAGGTCGTCAGAATGTGGAAAACGAACTTTTCCCTCATTGCACGGTTCAGCTGTTCTGACTGCTGTAGGCTTGGACATCAGAAGGGAGGACTATTGTTGTTTAGTTGCAAAGGCATGTCCGACTCTTCACGACCCCATGGACAACTCCCTTCCAGGTCTCCTTTCCTCCACCATCCCCCGGAGTCTGCCCACCTCCCCAGTGACCCCGTCCTGCCAGCTCAACCTCTGCCGTCCCCTTCTCCTTTTGCCTTCCATCATTCCAGAGACACAAATGGGACATCAGAGGAACTCCCACAGCCCCTGAGTAAATTGAAATCTCTTGTTTTATGATTTTGTGTGACAGGAGATAAGTGAAGTACATAGAAGAACCAGAGACAGGAGGAAAGAGACAGGGAGTTGCAAGGTTGGTGTCACCTTAGCTTGTCGCTTTGGTGGCTACCTTACATAATCACGTCTCAGATTTCTGCAGATCTTTCTGCTTTACATCCTTTGCTGGTGTGGGAGAAGGCACCCCTGGAAAACCATAAGGCACTCTGGGGAGCCAGCACTCTTTGACTTTCCATAGGGCCCAGCAAATGCCTCTTTCCTTTGCAACAGGGAGAATTGCGACTTTAGGCAGCCATCAGAACCTTTCAAACATCAGCTGTCACTCCTCCAGTCTCTGCCCTCCCCTGAGATCTGTTTATATGGTGAGCAGTCAAGCAACAAGCCATGTCATGCCTGAGGGCGTGGAAGGAGAGGGTTAGGGTAACGGTGACAGAGTATATTCTTCAGTGCAGAGTGTCCCATGGTGACCTCTCAGCCTCTCCAGTTAAAAGGAAGAGGTAGCAGGTGATCGGAGTGACCCTTCTATATGCAGGACAGTAGAAGCACTGTGCAAAGACACACCTTTCTGCATTTCAAAGTAGAAAAAATGAGTTAACTGGACAAGGTTAAGGTTTCCTAGGTTCCTGTTCAGGGATAAGCAGCACATGCATTGCACCTCAGTTACAGCCTGTCTTTATTTCTGCATTTTCTTACCCACTCTCACTGTTGGGCACGGCAATGTCTGGGAACATGTTGGGATTTGTAGTCCAACACATCTGGAAGGCATTAAGTTGGGCAAGGCTTGTATTTCTACTTTTTCTGTAAGGAACCCAAGGCAACTTACCTAAGAATCATAGAATAGTAGAGTTGGAAGGGACCATGAAGGTCACTGGGTCCATCCCCATGCTGTTGGAGGACACCAGTTCACACCATCCCACTCAGGTGGCTCCTCTCCCATTTATCCTCACAACAGCCCTGTGAAGTGGGTCAGGCTGAGGGTCAGCTAGTGAGCTTCAGTGGCCAAATGCAGACTAGAATCCAGATCTCCCAAGTCCCAGCCCAGCATTCTAACCACTATGCCACATGGCTCTTGATACAGTGCTTTTTCTGATAAAACATTCCATATACATTATCTCAAGTGCCCTAAGCTGGAGAATGCCCACCGCTGGTCTAGATGCACGTTCAGCCAAAGCTGACCTACAGCATCCTGTTCCCTGAGATGCAGAAGTTGAGCAGACTAGCAGTTGCAACTTACTTTAGTACTGGCAGTGGAATGAAGACCTGCATTGTGTGAGGGCCCCCGGACAGGTTGTGTGGCAAATGCCCTTCTGTTCTCCAACAGAGGTGAATGAGGAACACACAAAGGCTGCGATTTCTGCCCCCGCCACCCCCACCCAGCATCTGCCTCACTCTGCCTAAAGGTAGTCTGGGCCCGGGTATGACCACCCATTGCCCCAGCCCAGAAACCAGTGAAAAGAAGCAGAAAAGGACTCCCTTTCAAGTGCAGACGCTTCTGAAAATCATTCCCTCTTCATGAGCTGGCTAGAGGCAGAAAGCTCCTGGCATACATCAGAGTGAAAACTGGGAGAAAACAATTCCTGCATTTAGGCTGGCTGATACCACCAAAGAGATGGAGCAGCATGATATCAAAAGCTTAGTTAACTGGTATGGAATGTGTGGGAAACTGTAATGATCTCAGAGACATATCAACACCCCTGTCATTAGTTAATGGCAAAGAATGTCTGAGTGACCATCCCGTGGCCTTTGAGCACTGAATTCTGTGTCTCCTTAGGTGGAGTTGGCTGAACTTTGCAGCAGAAGTGAATGCTACATTGGCACAGAAGGCGGAGGCATGGACCAGTCCATCTGCTTTCTGGCAGAAAAAGGAACTGTATGTACTGCTTGAGCATAAACTGAGCAGATGTTTTGGTATGGAATAAGAGATACTTTACAGGAATGCTTTGGCTGAAGGTGAATGATGGTGAATGGCTGGGTTTCAGACATATGTGAGACGGGACTACATACATGCCCAGGGGCAGTGGTATGTTACCAATTCTGAACCTGTGTGGAATCTTTATTCCTTGCAAGTTAATACAATATTCCTGTTCCTTTCTGCAGCCAGATGGTTTACTGTACCTTGATTAAACCTTGGCGCATCTGCCAGGAGCAAGGGGAAACTGCCTGTGGGTCAGATGCACAATGTGACCACACCTGTCTTAAGGGTGAAGCAGGTATTGCATTCATGTGTAATGTAGCTACGCCCTGGAGTCAGTGCACATGATGCTGATTTGGATCAGGACCACCACACATACCAGCAGGGGGGGATTAAACCTTCCCTTCACAGCTGATTGCTTCTTAGTATTTCGCACATGCACCAATGGGAGTGCTCTCTCGCTCTCGTTCTCTTGCTTTCTCTCAGTTAGAGGGGCTTTGGGGAGGCAAATAGCATCTGGGGCAGAGGTTTAATCATCCTTTCCTGAGGTGCAGGGATTCTGATCCACATTGGGCCTGTATACACTTGCCACAGAGTAAAAGGCAGGGCAGGGCTCAGCTACGCACTACAGATTTAATGTGTATGAAGCTCAACCCTCTGACATGTGTGCTCAACTGGATTTGCAGATTTGTCACAAAGCCTTGATCCCCTGGAGAGGTGATTCTTGGAATACATGTCCAAATGGAAAGGGATTCAGATCTGGTGAATAACCTGGTTGTTGAAAGCTTACATAGGCTTTTCTTACACCTTCTTGTGAATTTCCCTTTTGATTAACTGGGTCTCCCCTCAAAAGTTAGAGGGAAAATGCACTAGTAAATTGCATGTGATATTGATCTGAAATACTTCATGTATTGATCTTAAATTCCACTGGACTGTTCATGTTTCTCGCCCTAGGCCAAGCTGATAGAGTTCAATCCTTTGAAGGCAACTGATGTGAGGCTTCCAGAGGGAGCCGTGTTTGTTATTGCAAACAGTTGTGTCACGATGAACAAGGCAGCAACTTCTCATTTCAATATTAGAGTGATGGAGTGTCGGCTGGCCACAAAGGTACGGCATGGCTTTCGTCAAGCTCTAATGAAACCATCATCCAAGTATGTGCTTGCTTCCACCCCTTCCACTCCGCCAGTTGTTCCTTTATTTTAACACCAGGTCAGGTGCTGTCTCGGAGGGCATGTTTATCTCTCACAGAGCCTGGATTTAGGCCATGTATACATGATGGATGGAAGAGAGGGATGGAATTTAGCCCTTGATGGGTGTGTGTCCATTTGGGGTGCAGGGAAGGAGAAAAAGTCTGCATGGCCAGGACAAAATTGACATTCTTAAGACTGTTCTCACTTAATGAGAGCAGGGTCTAATCTCAAGATTCTAAAGTGAAAAAATGTTTTTAATGACAGCATGCTCACTACGAAGGGAAGGGAAGGGAAGGGAAGGGAAGGGAAGGGAAGGGAAGGGAAGGGAAATGCAGGAATTTAAATTAATGAAATAGTGCATCTCAGATAATGTCTAGACAAGATTTTTTTGGTATTTTCTGAAACTGTTCTTCTTGAAGGTTTATTTTGGACACCTGAGAGGTTCCAGGAAATGTGGTAGCACTCTTTGAAACCTTGTCTTTGTATTATTACTTACGTTGTATCCAAAGCAAGATGCACACTGCATTATCTACACAACTAAACAGTAAGCCATACAGTGAAAACATTCCAGTTATCAAAACACACACACACATATATAGGATACTTGCATACTCAGCTGGTTGTTATGCAACCCTGCATGTTCTCACCGTACTTATTGTGGGGCAGGGAGAGCCTTCAGTTTCTTTGCTGCCTGAGAAGTTCCTCAGCCTCAGCCAGTGTAGCCAATAGAGGCAGATTATGGAAACTGCAGGCCAGAACATTAGGCGGACTAAAAATTTCTAACTTCTGTGCTAGACTGTGGTTTAAAGTAACCCATAGTTTGCGGAGTTCAGACACCAAAGGGAATTAATTAATTAATTAAATTTATATCCCACCTTTTCCTCTTTTTTAAAGAGCTCAAAGTGGCTTAAATTCTTCTCCTCCTGCTGCTCTCAGTCTTATCCCCACAGCAATGACCCAGTGAGGTTGGTTGGGCTGAGAGCCTGTGATTGGCCCAAAGTCTTCCAGTTGGCTCCATGGCTGAGCGGGGACTAGAACCCAGGTCACCTGAGTCCCAGACCGCCTCCTTAAGCACTATGCCACATTGGCTCTCAGAGTCAGTGCTTTTGAACTCCTTGAGCGTTGGAAAAGAGAAGAGGGGAACCTAAATTTTGTCCCTGTAACACTAATTATATATTTTAATTTATTGATATTTGATCCCCCCAGCTGCACTTTATCTATTTTATCATATATTATGTGAAACGTTGTAATCTGCTTAGAGAGTCCTTGGACTAGTTTATAGTGGAATGTAAGTTGAATAAATAGAATAAAAATAAATAAAATTATTATTATTATGGTTAGCTAAAAAGACCAGGGTCAAATCTTGTAAACAAATTGTAGCTAAAACAAATCACAATACTTATGGGAACTATAGTTCAGTTTGGGGAGGAGACAGGAATCTTTGAAGGAGAATTTTTAGGACCTTTGTGAGAAGACAGAATTTCAGCAAGTACGAACTTGGTAGATGTTCATCGCCTGCGGATGTGGTTCTCTTAACTGGCTTGGTGTGTGGTTGTGCTAACTGGGGCAGAAGAGCCAGAAAAAGAGAACATATCTTGGCATTTAACAATGAGCTGGAAGAGACGAAAGGTCCGTTAGCCATCTGCTCCTTAACCGACAGGAAATGACTTACTGCTAAATCACTATTATCAATAGCATTGGAATAGGGGAATTTCTTAAGAAACCCAAAATATACTGAATACCACGAACTTTCAGAGATTAAGGGTTTATTTTCTTATTCATTGCTAATAAGAGCTAGAACAGATGAACAGAAGTATGAGGTATTTGTTGCTTGTTGTACCATTCAAGGCAGTTGAGAACGTGAATGTTTGGGTAAAATCCATTGTGAATCGTACTTAGAGTAGGTACATTGAAATGACTGTGAATTAAGTTCTGTTCATTTCAGTGGGCCTACTCAAAGAAGGAGCTACATTGGATTTTATCCTTTGAATGCCTCCTTTGGATAAAGTCTGCCTTATACATCCTAACTACCTAGTCTAGGGGAATGTTATAGGTTAGGATTTTCCCTGATAGCCAGGTTTTGTATGCCTGAAATGTATTTCATTCAGTCCCACTTATGAAGCCTGAAATTATGTTGTCCAGCAAAAGATAAAATCACACAAGACTTCCACTTATATACTTCAGTTTAAAGCAGAATGCATAGAGTTGTGGCTGTTAGAAGAACTGAATAGATGCAGAATTGCCCTTACTGACAGGGTAGGTAGAGTAAGTTCAACTGAATGATTTGGAATAAGTCACTATCTAAATATTTTCTAAATATTAATGTCTGGAAAGGAGTCTGATTTACCTGTCATTCTCTTCATGTGGATTTTATGCTATCAGGGGTTGAAGAAATAAACCTCAGAAAGTCACTAGGTGGCACCAAAAGTAATTCATGGTTTAATAAATTGAAAAGAAGGGAAATAAAGCAAGGGACAAGGCAAACATTAATTGAAAAGAAACAAGCAACATCTTTAACATAAGTCTCCGTCTCAAAAATGTTTTTCCCCAAATGTATAGTTGTACAAATATATTTCCAAAACAAGACTCTTCCATGTGGAAAAGAAAATAAGATAAAATCAAGACATTCTGCAATAGCAAAACTGAATAGGCTTGTGGAAAGAGGGAGGGATTAGGGTCCAGCCTGCCTCTCTCCCCCATACAATCTTTGTGCACTGTGGAGTATTCCAGGGTATTTTTTAAGCCAGTGGTTGGCAGAAAGATCTCTCAGTGACTAGCGATAGACTAGCAGAGATTTCCAGCTTCTAATGATTTAACAGTAACAGGACCAAATTACTTCCTTCCATCCCAAAATTCTACTGCACACATGAAGAAAGCTTGGCAGAACCAATGGTAGATTTTTATGCTGAAAGACTGTGAGTTCCACCAAGTTGCTAAAATGAAAGCAATCATGAAAGAAACTCAGAACTTTTCGATTTTAAATGTATTTGTTTGCACCAAGCTCCGGGTGGTCGATCTCAGAAGTTCCAGGAACTCCCACAAAGCTGACGTCTGTCCACTCCATTGCAGGAGCATAGATCCAGTGCACAGAAGGCATGTGGCAGGCTGCCCACTCAGCCTATGCGACTATCAGGCTGAATTCAGTTGTGTTATTCTGCTGATAGAAAAAGTGGGACTGCGGAGGAGGGAGTTTTGTCTCTCCCAGTTTGCCCTGAGAATTTGTGCAGGAAGTCTAGGAAACCCTCTCGAGCTAATTCTCAGACAGTGCAGGGATGAGACAATCATACTAGGGAAAGTCAACGGTGGAAGAAGACAAGCAAGGCCAGATATGAGATGGCTTGACCCACTAAAGGAAGCCACAGCCTTGGACTTCGTGCTGAGTGGGGCTGTCATGGACAGGGTGTTTTGGAGGGCTTTCAGTCTTGGGGCTGCCATATGTTGGAGGCAACTGGTCAGCACATAAGACCAGCAGCAGCAACAGCAACGAGGGGAGAGAGGGAGAATGTTCTGCTGTATTAGCAGATTCCTGTTAGCCTAACATTGGCTGTAACTGGCCGAGTGTATCGCAGAAGAAGCCCACTGGGACAACTGGCAGATGTGGGCAAGTTGGTCGCCTGGGAGGTTTGCTCACCGTTATTGATCTGGGTATTCAGAAACCCCTTGACTCTCTTAAAAAGAACGGTGCTGCTGCTTTATAATGTGGAGCTCTGGGTCTGGTCGCTCTCATGCAGGCTCTCTGGATGTGCAACTGTATATATCAGCTGTAAAGCATGCGATTAACATTGCTTTCCTTGCTTATTCCTTCAGCTGCCATTCCACCCTTTAAAACTTGCTTCTATATTTCCAATATACTTGAATAACAAAACTGTTTACTAGCCTTGATTCATTAGTACATACATACCCTGAGCAGGTGCGACCTTGCCTTTTAAGCTCACTTAAATATAGCACCTGCATGACTACCGAAATAAATTTGGGTTTGCTTCTGCCTCTGCCATTTTCTGCTGGTTCATCGCTTAGAATTCTTCCCAGTGCCTCATTTGCTGCATGTCTTATGTGGCCTCCATGTTTCCACTAGACTGCCCTGGCATCTTGCAAATGCCGCAGTGCCATATGATAGGATATATGAAGTGTGACGGCCCGGCCAAACTACTTTAGAGTGGTGCTGAATTCACTTTATCAGTGTAATCTAGGACTGAGAGCAGACCACAGTCTTCGCTTGAAAAAGATTTGAACCTCCTATTAAAATTTGCCCTGACAAAAACTCCTCCACTTAGACCCAGTTGTGGTTGAGAATATGTTTCTCCTTAAGAAAAAGTAATAATTTAAAAACCTGAAACAAACAAACAAAACCCCTTTAGGACATTTGCAGTGAAAGGTTTAGTCACCGACAATATTTTGCACCCTGTTCTTCAGGGGAAGTAACCACAACCACGGCTCTGGCCTCACAGGCGCTGGACCACAGCCAGGGTTTGATGTGGCTCAGGGCTCAGCAAGGCAGAGGGAGCTTCGTGTCTCGCTTGCAGGACCACTCAATGCCTTGGACCATCTATGGCCTTTCAGAGCCATGGAGTACAGCATGGACCCCGTGGGGCCTGAAGCCCAGGCCAAAGGGCTTAACTGCAAGGCAGGCCTGAGGCCCCCTTTCTTTCCCATCTAGAAATTAAGTGCTATACTTCCAGTGTTCTTCCTCGTGTGTGCGAGTTTGTTTATGTCATTTCTTATTACTGGGGTCTTTCGGCATTTTCATGTTTATATTTCCTCACTGGTGTGCGATGCTGGCAAAAGACTTACAGCAGCCCCTCAACGCCAGAACTCTGCCACCTATCAGTCAGGATTGTGGCTCGCTCACCTACACACTGGCCCTGGATCTTTTGACTAGTGCTCCAGGTGGCGCAATGGTTTAAACTGCTGAGCTGC